TCATAGCAACAAAAATTCAACGCACGTAATAATCTTTTCGTTACTGTTAACAAAATGTAAACAAACAGTATGGAGGTATATCCTCCAGCTCAAGCAAAGTCAAGGCGTTCCTAAGCGTAGAGGAAATGATGCCATCGGACGCCATATGCAATCACGAGGAGGGAGTTTTCCCTATGTGCGTGGAGAGGTACAGAATGCTTATATGCGACCAGGCACTGTTTTAACTCCCTAAACATAGGATTACAAAAAGCTTTCATTTCTGTCAAGGCTATTTGTTTTGTAATAAATATGTTATATAATTCCACATTTACATGATGCTGTTTCTTTAGCCTAAGTAATTTTCAATAACCTTGACTTATTTGCAATTAATTATTCCTTTTATATAAAATGTTGAAGTTGATGTTGAAAAGATAAATTTGAGCGGTTAGATTTCTTATCTTTAGGAGTTGCTATAACAAAATTAAATGAGAAAATTAAAGAGAAGGAAAGGTACAAAAATGAGACATAAAATGCAAAGAATGTATGAATTGTAAATTGTTGTAATAAGACAAGTTCTTATTCATAGTTGAGGAATTCTTGTATAAAATCGTGGGTACTTAATCTGGGTCCCCTTGAGGGTCCATGGTACAATTTCCGATGGTTCTTGATAATGTGCCTTAAAAAGTTGATTAGGTAGTAATATCAATTCCATATTCATAAAAAAACTTATCGGAACATTGTGACATAATTACTACTTAAAACTCGGATATAGATTAGCAGACAGAATAAATGCGTGTAGAATCCCTGCGACAACAAGCAGGTGAAAACAAAGATAGAGGAGGTGATCAGGCTATGCCTCCTTCCCTTGAGAATTGTATTTTCGCAATATAATTTCAATAGCAAATCAAATTAGTGAGAGAGGCCTTTCAAAAGTGGAATACACTGAGCTGAGAACTCGCAGATATCAGAGCAGCAGATTAGTGTAGTTGTCTCTCGCAGTAATAATATAAGTAATTGAACAGTAACAAAGATACTCCCTTAATAGATATTACAACTTCAACAGCAGTTGCAACATTTCCAAGCAATTCAGCTAACATACCAGAAAACTGAGTCACGTAACTCCCTACCCAGTTTAAGCCAGATAGTACTACAACAACTTAAAATCAGCATTAGAAAAATAGCTCAACCCGTATAATAGTAACAGGATTGTAAAAAGGAAAATATAATGTAAGCTTATTACTATCCATTTTGTATGTACTTTATAAGGTATTTCTCTCGCCTTCTTAGCGAGTTTTCGTGGTGCAGTGGTATGCACGCTCAGCGCGTAATTGAGAGGTCCGCGGTTCGATTCCCGGCGAAGGCGTTGCATATTTTTTATCTCTCCTGCTTCCAAAAATAACCTAATGACTCAACAGTGGAGCTCGAACTATATGGGTTGTGAATGATGAGTCTCCTCACCCAGTATTTGGCGATTGGGTCCCCCCAAAATCCCAATTACCCTTTAAAAGGGGGAGTATATAAGGTAGTTATCCGGCCTTCTTAGTGATTCTTTGTGGTATAGGGGTCTGCACGCTCAGCGAGTAATTGCGAGGTCCGCGGTTCGATTCCCGGCGCAGGCGTTGCTAATTTTTCATCTTGCCTGCTTCCAAAAATACCTAATGTCTCTACACCGTGATTACGTAAAAGTGATTGAAGTTAACGTTTATTTTATAATATTTAACTGTAAAAAAGTTAAGTTGTATTCTGTGAAAGTTTTATAAAACTGACCAATTCCTAAGCCTTGAACAGTTGAATTTATTGGGATTTGCTGTTATTGAATTTCACCGATTTACTCGTTTCCATAACGATTCACGTGTATTTGTTCGTAAACACAAGTTTGAACATTTAATTGCTAAAAAATAAATTAAATTGTAAAGTTTATAACATAATTTATTTAGTTTTACAATAGAAAATTGCTGTTAGTTGATACATAAACAAATACAGATTTAAAAAAATTTTTAATAAATTTCCTTATCTTCAAAATTCTTTCTTATTCGATGATTCTTTCTTATTTCCCGATCGAAATTATTATTCCATTCTCTTTTATTTCTTTGAAAAATATGAAAATCCAGAAACTCAATTAAATCACTATTTGTCTCATTTTGATTTACCTACTTAAAACAAAATGTAAGTGACGGGGCACAGAAGCTCCAATGATACATTCTTTCTTTCTTTCCTTTTTTTTTTTCTGTTATTGAAAAATTCTTGCAAACGGAAATGTTACGAAGTCAACAAAACTAATAGAAGACGCCAATGTCTATTCATAGTGAAAATTAATCTACCAATGTGGGATTTTTTGCACTGAAAGAAAATCACTTCAGAAACTTGAATTTACATTTCCACGAAAATTTCTTGAAGCATGCTTTAAATTTGTTTGCTGAATTGCCAAACAAAAGCAGCCTGATACAATTAGAGAAACTTCGGAAAAATCATGTGCTCTAGAAATGATTGAACTATTCTGTGAACTGGAGCAGAAGAAGATAATGGAAGGAAATCCTTTATAAAATTATGTAATAAGTTTAATAATAAGTTTTGTAATATTTTCAAACAAATCACAGAGAAAATGATAATCTCACCATTTCACTTTAGAATCCAACTTGATAAAATATGGGCATTTCATATTATATTATTAAGCTGCTAGTTTTTACACATTATGCGCATGCTACAAACATCGAAAAGTTTTTATTTTTTGAGCATCTTGCCGAAACTGTAAAGACTGCAGATGGATTTGAAATTATAAAAAAACCTTTTCTTTAAATTATTTTAACTGGAAAGAAAAACCTTTATTCTCTTTACACTGATGCAACTCCAAGGGTGCTTTATATCACAAAGTTTTTCTTAATTTAGTGAAAAATGGAACTTTTCATGTTATGGTCATTCACTGCGTTCTCTACAATGTACTCTAGCGACAGACTCTAACAACAGCCCTAAAAGAGGTTTTCTAACAGCCATAACGCATGCCAACTTTATAAGAAACAACCTTCTGAATCACTGCATTTCGAAAAGTCAAAGTGCAGAACACCAGATGCTAATCTACCATACAGATGTGTGGTGGGTTGCCAAAAAACAAGCCTTGGAAAGTTTGTTTAAATTACGAATAGAAGTTTAAATATTATGGTAGAAAGCGACAACCCCCTTTCTGAAAATTTCAAAAGAAGGGATTTTAGTCATGTTTTGGCTTATGAGGTAGATATTTTTGATTATATGAATAACATAAATGTCCATCGAAGATGTAGATTCACCATTTTGGATGTTAATTTCTATCCAGAAGAATAGAGAAGTAACTGAAAATCTTGCTACCTTTTCGATATTAGAGGGTTGAGTTACAAAGAGTGAGAATAAATTTCTTTTTCAATCTTTCTAAAAAGAAAAATTTGATATCGGCGAGCACTAAAACCATTACAGAAATATTTTAAAGGTTGTTTCTCTCGATTTCATGAAAGCTGATCCACGTATCCCAAATCCTCTTATTGCTTGCATAAACTATATCGAAGTCGTTGACCTGAATAAAGATAAAACTCCTTGGGCTAAAGAAAGAAAGACTTATTGCGGTTAAAGACTTAAAAAAGACTTATTGCTGATGTGAGTTTTGGTGTTCACAGCAAGAATCCCAACCTCGTCTTGCTAAACGAGCTTTGAAAATTTAAATTTCATTAGTCATCACGGCAATATGCAAGGCAATTTCGGCAATATGCAGTTTCAACATCGGCAATATTTGGAACAAAAACCAGAAATTGGTTCGGTTTCAGTATTACAGCATGTCGCCTTGTCGCTTCAGCTGTTAGTCAAAGACAAACATCAATAGCCGTCATACTGACATGCATTTCGCAAAGAAAATTCAGCTATTACTCTCTTATGTATTATATATACTTGCAACAATTTATTAGTTTAATTAGATTTTTATTTATTTCATTAAAATTATCTCTAGTAATTAATTTATCTACAATACGATAGTATTTAATATGGAAACATAAAATTGCTAACGATAATTTTTACTGCCTCTAGTAATTTTAGTTTATGTACAATATGCTTCATAAACCAATTAAATTAAAAATATTAATCTGAGATTACGGTTCCTCGCCTTTACATTACTGTCAAAGATATATGTGGAATAAAATCAGGGTAGGAATCCTTTGTATCAAATCATTTTATATCTAATATATTTTTTTGTGTTATACTGTAGACGTATAAGTATGTTGAGCATACAGATACTAGATAGTAATTCAAAACACAGATAGTAATTGAATAGACACAGTTCGAAATTCGATAGACATACACAGATAGTACTAAAACATACAAGCAATTTTTTGTGGTTCCCTTCAAAATGTATTAATCTTTCATTTCATAAAAACGAATTAATTGCAATAAATCGTACATCATACTAGAAAAGCAATTTTAGCTTCTTTGCCCTTGGCCTTAGATTTATCAACGTTTTAATTACATAGCTTTATTTACTCGATGTGTGTACTGACATACATCTTGGTCACACAGCTCAAGATAAAGCTTTTCCAAGATATCTGAAAAAAAAAATCCGGAATGCACACAAAGATAAGATACTAAAAACTAATAAATAATTCTGTTTTTCTAAACAACTGAAATTTTACTGCGAAAGCGAGATCGAAAGATTTCAGCCAAAGGTCATTTGAAAAAAAAAATATTGTGGGCCAGAGTTAATTTTATTACTTATTGTCCCACCACTTTCAAACTAGATTTTCTAGAACTGTTTAGAATATATATGCATTCTCTAAACTGTCGTAAAACTATGTAATGCTTACAAACGTCTGTTCTTACAAGAAAGTTATGCGCTTATTTTATGTTATAGTTTAAAGGCTAAATAGTTAGATTCTATAAGAATGCTTGAATTTTACTGTGATCCAATCCCATTTCAGAATTTTATAATTACGGATAATAGAATAATATTGATCTTTCTAAAATCTATCGACATTCACTTGTTGTAAAAAAAACTGCTGCACTTAAAATCGCATTTAAATGAAAACATTTTTTGTATTGATAAATTAAAAATTTTTTAGATCACTATATGATATTTCAATGGATTTTTCCTTTATGGCTGGAGTTCAAAGCGATATTTTACTAAACGCTTAATGAATGGGTAAGAAAAGTTTTAACATTATGATGTCGTACAGTTTATAATGTGTAACAATGAAATCAGTGATAAGTACGTAGCTATATATTTCTCTCAAACATCGTTTACAACTATTTTTATTGTTAAAGTAGCAAGGAAATGCATTTTATTGTGTCTTCTTCAAAACTTATTCCATGTTTTTTTTTTTTTTTTAATAGAGATAAACGTTCCATTTTGAATTTGCGAAATCTTTAATTTCGCTATCACGTGAGAAAACGATTTCAGGTAAAATTATGATCTACGTCAGGGGCTCCCAACGGGGTCGGTATTGACTCTAGGGGCTCTATAAAATTTTAAAGAAAATTCAATGATAATTAAAGGATCGATAGCGCGATGTGATCGGTATGGTCAAGATCCCATTAATTACAAAAGAAATTTTTAAATTGTTGCCACTAGATGTTTTCACCCTGTATTATAGTTAAAGAAATTAAATAATGAAGTATCTGCATGAATATATGGTTTTTTTCGCACTTTGAAAATATAATGGAAGTCGAGCCATCAAATTTTGAATAATGTACACCACTTTTGAATAATGTGTACCAATTTTGAATAATGTACATGGCCACCCGGAAGTCAGAATTTTGAATTTTGAATTAGTTTTATTATCTTGTTGGTACTTTGTAAACGCTAACGAATTTTTGATTAAGAAACTCAACGATTTCAAAGCGAGTAGTGGCAACACAGCATGGAAAAAAAAAAAAAAAAAAAAAAAAAAAACATTTTTATCTGAAGCACGCGAGACTATGTATCGGAAATTCTAAAGATATGCTGCTTCTAAATATTTGGTGATTTTGCTGTTGAATCGAATTTTATGTGGCGTAATACTCAATAAAGTAAACACACAAAACATTTATGATAAAAAGATAAAAAAAAAAGGGCACTTTTCCGTTTTGCCGGTGCAAACGATAATGGTAAACGATAATCTCCAATAATGGTACAACTGCTGCCAAGCGGAATATCTTCGCTGATAACCTTTTGCGCCGGATTTTCAAAACAAGTCGTAGCCATTTCTTATAGTTCGACCGTCTCAAGCGAAACTCTGTTTGGCATTCTGCCAAAACACAGACTCATCCAAAAGGGGCGGTATTACTTGCTGTGACGTGAAAGGTTTTCTCTTCTCCGAAAACAGCTATACTGAAAGGAAAGAAAGTCCCCATCCTTCCACCCTATTTTGAGAATAATTAGGTCCGAATGGCGCATGCGTGTTTGCGCTTATGGTCACGGATGAGGCGGTCGAACTATACCAGGTTGAATGTTTCTTTCAATGCTGGCATACAATTACATAGAATATTTACAAAGATAATTAAATTTTATGCCCTAAGACCATTCGCGGTAACTAAGTCAATTAGGATGCAATCACACCGCTCACCCGAAGGCAAAAATATAGGAAAGGTAAAATCAAGGGTTAAATTCATCTATTCTAATGAGAATGCACTAGCGAAGTAAAGCACTGCAATTTTACATAATTTCTGAGTAAGCTATTCGTACGAATTGAAGTAATTCTTGATGTAAACTTGTATTGCAAATTAAGATTTAACTTAAAATTAATGTAGATAATTACTGAGAGAATTAGATTTTTTTATCGTAGTTTACGTGAGATGAGATCACTTGGAGTCACGTGATACGAACCGGGGAATCAGGATGTTGAACCATTATAGCATAGTAAATTCTTAAATTAATGCCTTTTTACAAATTTATTGGCATTTTACAAAATTTTAAACCATATTAAAATGTTCATGCCTTCAAAATAAAAAATTTAACATTTGTTATCACTTTTATGTGTATACTGTGTGTTGTCGCCAACAAAGTCTGCTTGGCGAGATTTGCGCCGGTGAAAGTGAAAAGTACCAAAAAACGTTTTGTAAAGCCATCTTAGTTAGGAAACCGAACATTGATATGATAAACTGAGAAAAGACTGAAAAAAAAAAAAAAAAAAAAAATGTTATGTCAACACATAAAGTTGCATTGGAAATTCTAAACGTATACTGCTATGTTGCTTTTAAAAGTTTTAAATTTTTGTAATTTTTACTGTTCAATTTAAATGGCATAAGTGGGAAGAGAATGATGCTTAGTAATAAAGCTAAAAAGACAAAAAAATTGGATCAGTAGTAGTGAGTGTAACAGCAGACTTGTTGACTGTCAGCTCAGCAAAAGCGTAAAAACTTTAACAAGCCCTTTTGGGCTACCGTTAAAATCTGAATACTTTCGGTTTTTTTATAGATTTCTTAAACCAATAGTAACTTTTTAAATAGACAAATATTTCATGCAATAAATGCAGTACAGCAGTTACTAAATAACATTAGTGACTTTTCCCCCTACTAGTAAAAAATGAAGTCAATAATTTACTACAGAAAAAAGAAACAAGTTGAATAATGTTAAAAGGGGTGTTTGATGAGTTAAGTAAGGAAGTTTTATTCTGACTATTAAAAATATTGCATCTATACATCAAGCACAGCCATCACATTGATTCAAATCGAACTTTGGTGAAATTCGATTAAGCAATTTCGTTTCTAAAAACTGGTTCATATTGTTGCGTGCGTACGGGTTCGTTATGAAATGAATGCACAAGTCCGATGAAAAATGAACAAAAATTTATTATTATCACAACAAAAATACTTAAATTTTCTCGAATTATCATGCAGTATTACAATATCTCACAGCAGTTATCTTTTAACTACTCAAATGTCCAATAGAACGTTATTCAAAACAGCTAAAGAACGCTAATCCGCGAATTCGCTACAATCAACAAGAGCAGTTTTCTAAACAACAACAAACTAAGCAACTACTACAAACTGAGATGTTTTCCTCCTTTTATAAGATTTTAAAATCACGCGCTAGAATTTTCCAGTACTTTCTCGAAATCAAAAAGAGATATTTATTTATTTAATGCACGCGCTGTTGTATTTTCAATTTTCCGGCTTAGCTTTCTTTTAATATTCGTCACGCGCTGCACTGCGCGAGAAATAAAACCATTTAATTTATAATTGAACTAACATTAGTTTTTTAAATACCAAATTCGTAAGACTGCCCCCCAAAGACTGCATGTCCCGGGCAGTACAATCCCTGGACAGGAAGCTAAACTTACAACTGTGGCATAAATGCATTAACAAGCATTACATTACAATAATAAACAACATGAAAAATAAATGCAATAAATAAAACAAATCAAATGCTATCAAATACAAATCGAATACTAAATACAAATCAAATCAAATACACATTTAAAAACAAAATGGACCATGGTCTTATACTACTTACAATTATTTACATTATGTACTATGGCCATTGTAGTGAGCTAACATGCCGTAATGAACGACTTTAGGTTTAGAGTTCGAACACTTACGGATCATGACGTCATTCAGTCTCTTCAGGACTGTATATGGACCATCCGAAGGTGACTGTAATTCAGGCCTGATTCCTTTTCGCCGAATCGGGTTCCACAACCACACCTTGTCTCTTTTGTTGAATCTATGTCCAGTAGCTCTCGCGTTGTATCTGGTCTTCACTTTCTCCGTCGCCAAGTTCACTCGCTTTCGTGCGGAACGGTGCATCACTTCAAAACGGGCCTTGACATCTTGGATGTGTTCCTCAGGCGATGAACGCGCATCCGTACGGCGATGAAACAGGCGGTCACAAGGCAGACGAAGGTCTCGACCGAAGAGCATCTGAGATGGAGAATAGCTGGTAGTCTGGTGTTTCTTTTCGACCATAGCATGATTTCGGCTGTTTCTTGAGCTGGTTCTTTCGGACAAAGCGTCGGCATTTCCAGGTGAGGATCCCTTCTTAGGATGGATAGTCATGTCTTCAGATCCTGAAAGCAGTTTGTTGTTTTTCAAGTCTAAGGAAAAATTGTATTTCCTTAAAAGTCCAATCCGAGTATGCATGGATCTGTAATATCCGCCAAATATGCCGTGTGATGGTAGGCGGCACTTCCAAATGTGATTTTCTTTTTCACGTTTAACTTCCCAGCTTATGTCGATCTTTTCACCAGACGCAGTCTGAAGGGTAACACAGGATGGCGTCCAAATAAGTTTATCTTTAAACTGTTCAGCTAAATCTTTCCTAATGATGGTAACATTAGCTCCTGTGTCAATGATCATATTGCAAGGAACTCCATCGATATTCCCATTAATGGACATTCCGTTACTGTTGCCACTCACTGTATAAATTTTAAGCGCTTTAAAACAAGGTTTTTCATTATATGGCAAACTCCGTTCCTCGATATGGTCACTAATTTGTTTACTGCGTCGTTGTTGGGAAATAGTCTTATTTTCCGTACCTCGAGGTGTTCTGAAGTTTCTTCGTATGTGGCCTTCAACTCCGCAGTTCCAGCACTTTAGGATCGGTTTCTTTTCACTTCTGTTCCGTCTCAAGCCAGTGACTTGTCTGGTAAAATCATCTGCTTTATATTCCGTACCCTGGGGTGTTCTGCAATTCCGTCTTAGGTGACCTTCACTACCACATCTCCAACACCTTACAGCTACTTTGTTCTCACTGCTACTCCGTATCAAAGCATCGACTTGTCTGGATAAATCATCTAAACGAGCCATCAGTTGATCCACTGGCTCGTGGGCTCGCACAGCTCTGACTGGATGGCTATCTCTACGATAGGCTTGCTGGGCTGCCTCGACGTTTACGGCGTACAACAGAGCGCTTTTTATGTCCTTCACATCTGCCATTCGCAGTGCTTTCTGTATTTCAGGGTCCCGGATGCCATCGATGAAATATTGCAGGGACAGGATTCCCTTGTTTCTGTCGGACACTCCGAAAAGGCGAGGTGGGACAGCCTTTCAACATCCGTGGCGAGCTCCTGAAGTGTTTCGGTGGGCTTCTGCTGACGGGATTTTAGTTGAAGCCTGCTGTAGTCTTTTAAACACTTCTCTCCAAAGCGCAGTTCCAATGCGCCGGATAGAGCTTCAAAGTCTAGTCTCTGGTTTTCGGGAAGAGTCTGCAGGATATCCGCTGCG